ATACGCCACTTCTCTCTACCTGTACATTTAACCCGCGTAAAGACACGTCGCGAGAATTAGAAATTTAACACTAGCTCAAAGAAAGAATCTTGCATGATAAAGTGGTACGAATTAAATCACTCTGTGACTTTCTTAACATGATGCGGATAACGTCCATAAATCTAAGGAGATCGTAACGTACGTGGCTGAACGTACCGTGGAATCCACGACGTGGCGCGCACGCTCACGAATGTGCGCGGCACTCTTATAACCTTCTGCATAACTTTGAGAATCCGCTTGACCGAGAACGGGTATCGAGAACGTTCTTACGCCGTTATGTGATAAGTCGAGTGCCCGTTAATGTCGATGCGAGTCACTCGCATGGGTACCCGTGTAAGTCACCTCGCCGTAACCTCGTAACATATTTGGCAGTCGACCGAAGAGACATTCTTTTCTATTCTAATTGATCGATCGGTTAAATTCTCACGACGCCCCGATTATATCTGGGAAACAGACGGAGGGAAAACGAAGGTTGATCGAACACGCGGAGCATAACCGACCGGTGCTATAGCGTAACGCCCGATGCAACAAATCCAACAGAAGTAAGTACTGGTTATCCGTTCAATTTCCATAAGGATCGCTTCGGTCCGTCCGGAGCGGTTTATACAAGTTAATGCATCGCTCCGTAACGTACACGCGTACACGTATGTACACTATTGCGCCGCGCGTGTGTAACGTGCTGCGTTAATGCCATTGCCACCGATTGCCGATAGTAATTATCTTATCGAGCTGCGTGATCGCTCTTCTTACGTGCTCCGTCCCGATACGCACTTTAATATTACTTTATTAATAATAACTAACGCGCGCACGTTAATAACATCCAGACTATTCTGCAACGTTTATTAACCGCGAGGTTGACTAATCGGTGACTATATCGCGATGATCGATCGTTTCCTTAGATTCTGCGGGAAGCAAGCGTCATGTTCGGTCACACCATCTCTAACTAGTAATTCCTCCAGCGTAATTCCAATGGTGCTCGCAAAACCTGGTAGTCGACGACGTAAGACTGTCGCTGTCCTCTTTATCGGAGGACGTTCGCAAGATGCGCACGACCGCGAAATTATGGCGCGAAGGGAAAAGGTGAGGAGGGGAGGGGAGAAGAGGCGAGGAGACAAAGGGGATCCATCGGATCGATTGGTACTCAAGGGCGAACGGATAGCGGCCGCTCGTAAATCGATGGCTGCAGCGAATCGGTCGTTTCCCCGCAAAATTCCGCGGCGCGAGATACCCGATTGCGATTGAACCCGATGGGACATCCAGGAACCGTTATTCCGCCATGGTGACGCGATGGTATAGGCACCTGGTACGAAGCGCTAGTCCCCCTTCCGCCAACTGTCTTTCCCTTTCCACTCTGCCATCTTCTTTCTTTCGTTCCTTCTCTCTTTCTCTTCTTTTCTCTTTTTCTCATGCGCATTTCGCGGTGGAAGCTCACCGAGCGCCGATCGTTTCCAACGTTTCCGTAGAGACATTGACGCCCGGTTGCGGGTCGCGTTGTTCACACGTGAACATTCAATTTTGCTCTCTTTGAATGACCGACCCCTGCTTTTCCCCTCGTTCGTTCCCGCTTCTTCGCTCATTTCACCGCGCGACTCGTAGCGACTCCTCGGGTAGGTATGCGTACGTTCTCGCGCGACATAATTACTATTTTACCCGACACGCATCATTGGCTCATTCCGCGAGTCTTCCATGACCGCAACAGGTACCGACTAATGACATAGAACGCCTCGCGTCCGTAGACTCTGTCTCGTTTCCTCGCAAATTATCCTCGCTAGTCGGGCGTGTACCACACGTTTCTGCCGGTTCCTAGCAAGTGTATAGTAAGCTTGCAGCGTGGCTCTCGCTAGTATATCGAGCTATATTTATACTATCTATGAAACGCAACCATCCAATGTTCGTATCTTCAAAATTGCCACACGGGTTATCGATGTGTGTGCATGCGGCAAAAGTTCGCGGCTGGATAAATCTGTGAATCCGTCGACGTGACAGGCTCACGAATTTATAAATAATGCCACTCTCACGCTAACGGCGAAAACGCAATTGCAAAATAAATTAACTTTCTGATGGATTCGACGATGATCCCTTGAGGCAACCGGTCCGTTATGTCGCGGAAGAATTGGGCTAGGATCCGAGAGCCAATATGAAGGAAAAAAATACGCTCTATTATTTCTCACGGTTATGTAGAACCGTGGTAAAGAACAGTCGAGCGATAATGCGTTTAGTTATTCGTTGTCAGATCCCTTCACTCGTAGCATCTTAACTGTCAACATGTGAGAGAGAACAAATCTAGAGAATATCAAATATAAACGATGGTGAAGACTCTGCGTATTCTAAAAGAGAATAAGAGGATATGTCAAGGAGCTAGTAAATCCCTGTCAGCGTATGACTTAACGCGTAAAATGTCACGACTTACCAGGCGCGAGCGCGTATATAATGTAAGCGTCATCGTGCGAAATAGAAACCCCGTTGAATGTGCGATCGTGGAAGATTCTAAAGTAGGTGGGTGGCAGTGGAAGTTTAGGGTCGGTTGAAATCGCGCTGTCAACCGCGAGAGTCAGGTCGCTCATCAAGTCTCGAAGCGGCGGCATGACTTCACCGATTTGACCGAGAATGTAAAAAGGACGAAAAGAGGGAAGTGTGAACGCGGGGAATCTGGGCGGGGATGGCGCGAGGTGGCCGATCAAGAGAAAGAGAAAGAGGAGGTAGGAGAAGAGACCGACGGTGATGTTTTCAATGGTGTTGTACCGACGATCGAATTGTGCGTACCGTTCTGTCCTCCTTAGAGCCGCAGCGGCCTCGGTCCCCTCCGGCAGACGTCTTCGGTCGCTCGTGGAAGAGAGCTACACGGCCAGGTGTATACAGTGCCTAAGAGGCAGTCGGCCGACATAGTTATATCTCCAGTGTGCGGGATCGCGGCGGTCGCGAAATCTCCCGCATTACCATTGCGAATCGACGTGCGTCTGTGATTTCGTCGTGGTTACACCATGCGCGATAAACAAAAATAATCCGTCTTTTCTTCTTCGGTTCTTTGTTCTTTCTCTCTCTCTCTCTCTCCCTCTCTGTTTCTCTCTCGGTCACGCCGACATATTAGCCCACGTTTGTGTGTACCGTTTCAGCATATTGTACGCTAACGGCCACTCTCAAGCTCGCTCGCGCGCGGTTACTCGACGCGATCCCGTGAGAAAGGTGCCCGTGGAATTCGCCTTCGCACGGCGCAAGAGTGCCAGAATAAAGCGCCGCCGAATTGCAAGCGTGCGACATCGCGCCCGCGGCAGATCGCCAGACGATTTGCCTCCAGCAAAATTCGATATCGATATATCGAACGTGCTCTCCCGACTGTACTGGCCAGGTACGTGTTCCCTGGAATTTGACTATGTACCGAATGTATATCGATAATATGTGCATCAGTGTTATTTTTTAACAACACGTGCGTACAATCGCGCGCGCACACTTGAAACACGATGTTGTATTTTGCTGCTATTTTCGGCAAAATTGCCAGAGTTTACGCGGATCGCCGCACGATTCCATGAGATCATAGTGGTGTACGAAAGTATCCGGCGATTTAAATTCCCGCATATGCGCGACGCGCTGTTTGTTATGTATTGCAAAATGTATGCAACGAGGTAAATCGGAAATATGAATGATTCCCAATTTATTACCGTAATCGTGTTACTGGTTATACGTTTGTAATATTTTTATTCTCATTTTAATTTCTTTGTATCGTCTTCATCCGATTTTATGATGTAAAATATGTTATGTTAATTATATTAATAAATGCAGATGCACTAGCTTTTAACAGATTTATAAATTGTATCTATATTTATATCTAATTCTCAAAAATATTTTAAAATCTAATAATCGTATTTCATATATTTACACGTTATTCATGTATAAAACCACACTAATCCATATATCGTAGTATAAAAATGTGTCAATTAATAGAATTATTTTAAGATGTTAATTGATTTTTAGAAAACTTGTACGTATATCTAAAGATTTTATCTTTTTAGAATTACTTCTTAAAAGTATACACCATGTAAGTATACGCAATGCCATTAACCGAACCGTTGCTCCGAAATCTCTACGTTATCTCTGAGACTTTGTACAAAATTCCTGAGAACTTGTCGTCGTTAAAAACATGCCCCAGCTCACGTTATTAATGCGGGCACAAGCCTTATTTTCCAATCTACTGTTCCCATTCCCGTTCTTTAACAAGAACAGCACGACACTTGACCAACGGCGATACATTCCATCCCGTTAATTCCTACTTCCGTTAATTCCCCTTTATTCGATCTGACAGAGGATTGAAACCTTCGCTTAAGCAATATAAAATATAGTCCCACAACTAAAAAAAAAAAAAGCGATCGAGGAAAGTGCTTTAAGATGTTTCATTTTATATACAGTCGTTCTATTCTACAATTATTATAAAATAGAAAAAACTATTATTAATCCAATAGTTAAGTGTCGTTAAATATGCTACGAGATTCAGCAAATCAAAATTCACCACGATAGTGTATTATTTTCCCTTCATTCTTAGCTTCTTTTTTAAATTTATTGTATCAAAATATCATAATGTGAAAAATAAATATTAAAAGAATTTTTTTCATGATCAAACGTATACATTTTTTACATTAACATAGTATTATATAAATCTACAAAGTGTAAAAACCTGTTGGATTCTTACATTTCTTAAATTAAATGAAAAAGTAGTCAAGATTCTGCGGAAAAAAAATCATTTCATATCTTTTTCAAATATAATGAGTCTAGTCTTTAATGATTTAATATTTGCTCTTCGAATTATTTCGTGTCTCAAGAGATCAGAGTTTACTATCCTTTTCCAATAAGAGATATAATCAAAGATATCTACGTAATACCTCTTGTTCCTCGAGCAAAATAGTCTCATGTAAAACTTTTTGTTACAGATCACACACGTCTGCGACGTTACTGCATTTTGAGCGTTTAAACGAGGTGCGATAATGACGAGACCGTACAATCGTCGACAACTTGTCGCGTTACTTTTGCTGTTGCAAACCGCCTCGAGGTACGGTCACGCGGTTTCCGCGGAATCGACGCACGCGGCCGACCTATCGCCACCATCCGCATCCGTGCCGTCCGGTCTCTCCGGCCCGGATTACACCGGGCCATCCGCGGGTTCGGACGAATGCGATCCCGAGATGGTTGGCTTCGAGTTGGTAACCGGCTACGTGTACACCGCGCCCACAAACATGCTCGAGTCCATACCGGGCACGTTGATGCTCACCGATTGCCTCGAGACCTGTCAGGCAAACGACTCCTGTCAGGCGGTCAACTACGAGACGGGACTATGCGTCCTATTCAGCTCTAACGCCGACAGCAATCCAGGTAGGATTGAATTGTTATCGTATCTTTCTAAAGACTCTAGTAAGAACTATCGATTATGTAGTATGCGCCGATGCTAGCAGACTCCCGAGGCTACCCCATTCGATAACTGCTCTAAGGTGTATGCGAACTTTTTTTTTACGAGGGAAACGTTAGCGGGACATTGAATTGTCTTATTACATACGAGAGTCAATTAAAAACATTCTACAATGACGATAAAAAGAATAGCTTCTACTGCAAAAATTTTCTTTTAAATATTTTATGGAATTTAGTTATACATCGTGTATATATAACATTAATAGTATTGCTTTAGGCTACGTTCCAAAACGTACTCTCCGAGAAAAATTTTACTCGATGGCCGTTCTGAAACTTTTTTGGGCGTTTCTGATTGATTCCAGGCCGGCCATCGAGTAAAATTTTTCTCGGAGAGGAAATTTTACACCTTTTTGGAACCTAGCCTTAATAGATAAATTTACGAAACAATATCATTATTTTTTGTAAATAAAAGAAATGACTAACGGCAGTACAATATTTAGAAAGGGGAGAAAAAACCAAGATGTAGTAATATTTCTTGATCCGTTATCATTAAAATTAGATTTCCATATGTACATGTGGGATGAGCAAGCCTCGAGGTCTAGCGCATCTTGTTGTTTTGCGCAATTACGGCGCTTCATAGGATAACCGAAGTATGTTAAGATCGTTTCACATCAGTCTCGTACAAACATTTTGTGTAATGTAAGGATCGCTTTGGGCGAAGCGCGATAATTTTCTGTACAATGCCTGCGGTACCAATTGCCTTGATCTACCGGATAAAAATAAGCGAAACAAAACGTGAAGGATAATAGACGATGTCGTCCGGTACTCACGTCGGTGAGAATCGGGTCGATGTGCTTATCACACGTTCTTCACAAACCGTACGCGTAATTTTTCATTTGTCTAATTCGTTAATTAATACATTAATAATGGAAAGATATTAAGAAAGAGATAAATTTTTCGCGAATTGGTTAAGAATTCTATAACGCGTACAAAAGATTGTATGCTACTAATTTCTGTAGATAGTAAATATTAAAAGATGAGTTTTTTCGCATATATGTCAAAGATCTAAAGGTCTCTATTAAGCATACTTGAAAGAACATTAATATAAATTTACTATAAATAAACATTTCGTTTTTATTATGTCAGTTAAGAATATAACGATAAAATATTTTTTTTGTTAGTTTGATGCAAATTACTTTTTTCGTGATAAGATGATGATTGAATTTTCTTCTTAATGTACGCAAATATCGTTCAAATATTTTCGTATATATCACTAACATAGTAAATGCAAGAATTTAATTTTAATATGTATTTTAAACGAAATTTTTAATGTCGCAATGTCCAGCCATGCAAAAATATTGGAAATTCTCTACCAAATCGTACAATAATTGTTCCCATCACACGCAACAATTTGTCACAAATATTATCTTCCATAATACACGTTAGTTTTCATTTTTCCCAAACATTTCCAACATGTTTTCTTCCGAATCATTTTTCATGTTTTATATACATGTTCAATTACATGTGCATTGTGTATCATTTGTTGCACTTAATATTATAAAAAATATATAAAAATATACAGTTTATAATAAACATATGGCATGATAAACGAAAATTGAATCAAATAATTCGGATCGAAACGCGTAAAACCTGTAAAATTAAAAAATAAATTCTGCACAATGCGTTTCATCAAGTGATATTGATTTCTTTAGCGAATAACACGAATAGTAGTTCGTGCTCTCTGGTAAATACCTCCGGAATTGCATCCGTTTTCGTTCGCGTGTTCGAATCTTATTTAAATTTTTGCAGAGTACGAAACAGCTTTCGCACTTTCAGTGCGGTTGATTTTTCTAGGAGAGACTGCACCCGATGGAGCAACATATTGGGTGTCGTCTGAGGTATCCTTTTTCTCGAGTATTTCTTGACCTATTATTTTTCCGACGCTGTTGAATGCTTTTATGGCACATACGCGAATATATTTAACTCGGAGAATGTCGAAATGTTGATAAATTCTCGAATATACTGCATCGTAGTAAATTTCATTTGTTATTCTTATTGTTATTTATATTTACTTATTGTATAGTTATTCTTATCTTTTAATTTTTTAATGTGAAATAATGCTTTAATGTGTTATCTAATCAAAGGATTAAATAATAAAAGTGAGTTTCTAAACATTTCTCAAAAAATTTACTATTTGGTGTAGATATATGTAACAGTTTATTTTCACAAATATTATAGTTATGATTGAGCGTACAAGATAATTGAGAGTAGAGAATAAAAGTTCATATTTTACCGTAATTTTGATATTTTATCTATCAGAAATATAGATAAATATAAAAACAAGATATAAATAAATGTTTTTTATATATCATATCGAAATAAATTTCTCGTTTCCAAAAACATATTTCGCGCGCTTTACATATAGAAAAGACAAGATTGATATATATATATATATATATATACGTCAGGTACATCTATATATTTGGTTTCAACAATGAATTATAAGGATCACGTGCATTGTCAGAGGGTGCTACCGCGGTGGTTCCTCATGAATAATGGATACCGGTATAAGTAAGTGTAATGAGAAACGCACTAATTGAATCTTCCGGGGTATAATTAATATAAACTATACGTCCGCAGACGTCAGACTTGTGGGCATTAATTAAATGACGGAATGAGATCTTATACCTATGGAGAAGTGGTATTGTTCTGTAATATTTTTCGAGCGCATCTGTCAAGAATAACGCGTACCAGGTAATTTGCTTCCGAGATAAGGAAATTAAAGTGGGCGCGTGTATAAATTATAATTGCATAGCCAATACTTGAAATAATGTCCCGAAAAATTCAACTATTATCATTTTATGTATCTCAAAGTAGTCAGTAATAATTCACTAACAGACAATGAACGAAATTAAAACGTACAATCTGTGCAACCGTTACTATCACAATATCATTACATATTTATGTTTTTCTATAAAAGAATATAAAGTCAATAATTTCTTGTAATGATGTTAATTAACTTATTATTATTATTATACTAAAAATTATTTAATTATTTCAAACTTGTTATTATACTAAAAATAATTTTAATTAACTTTGATGAATTTGTCTAAATTTATTTACCGCCGTGAGATATACCGTTTCTAATACTTTTTACCTACGCTTGGAAGTCTTTGCACGGCATAAAAATGATCTAATGGATGAATCGTGCGCAATTCATTCCGTGTCAGTTTTTACATCGAGAACTAACTATATGACCGGAACAGATTCGGTTGAAAGATGGCATCGCGTTCCAATTGCGTGAGCCATGGCTGTAATTCGTGCTACGAACATCTGGCGAATGGAAATAAAAAGCGTCTTACGATCTCTCGTACAATCTACGCGCGGTATTTTTTTTACGTAATCATCATGTGCCGGATAATTGCCAAAAGGCACGATGTGCCAAAGTCAAAGGGAGCGCAATCGTTGTTAGCCTTCGTTTTACGTTCGCATCTTTTGTGCCGCCGTAACCATGAACGCCTGTTCGAGAGCACACGTGATAATCTAACGGTACGGTAAAGGAAGGTTAGCATACGTCTAAGAAGCGGAGAAAGTAAAGGCATTCACAGGGCGCGGATATGCAAAGGATCTCCGACCATTTTACGCACCGGACGAACATTTACGGCGAATTTCTCAAGAAAATCGGGCCCTCTTGGCGCGCAAGTATGCCTGTATGTGACAGCTTGACGTCTACAAAGTACTCTTTTTACTGCTTTTAACCCACCCTTATCTCGCTTCCGCGCGCTTGTTGTCATCCGTCGCGAGCGCGCGTTCACGTTTTTCTCTCTATAAACTTAAATCGCAAAAGATTTAATCGCGAGATTTCGACGACGCGAAATCACGTTAGACGCCGTATACGTCAGTTTAATAGAATCTTTTACAGACCAAAGGCAGGATACGACGGGGTGAAGGGAGGAGAGGTTAATTCGATCGACTGCAAATCGCTCAGACGTAGACGAGAACGAAGAGGATCTCGGTCACGCTTTAATAGTCTCTTGACACGTGTTTCCTTTCGGCACGGCTATCGAATGAATCTTCTCGCTGCCATCTCCGCTACTTGTCCGTTAAAAAAAACAAAAAACCTGCATGGATCCGACTCTTATCCGCCGAAACCGAGACGAATAGCCGAATAAAATGTTGTTCGGCCGGCTATATATACACGTGATCGTGATCGATACCGACAACAAGAAGAAACAACAACGACGACAACTGACGACGACACACCGACGTCACGATCATGAAACTTGTGAAGCCGTGGGCCCCGTTAGTCGATGATAGGATCGTCGTTAGACAGGCGAGCGGGCGAGCGAGTCGCCGACCTCTCTCATCGTCTCGTCTCCACGCGTGTCCCTCTTTCCGTCCTCGATGCTTCGTTTGCGATGAACCATTTGGTACAAGAGGTACCTAGCAGCAAATCGACGGTCGAGGTAATTAGTTCTGGACGATATAATCAGATTTAGAGACGGCTTACGCCGTCCGATCTGAGGCTCGAATTCTCTGCTAATACTGAGCTTCGTCCCTAATGCTATTCTTTCGTTCTTCGACATCTCGATGTTGTAATCGTGGTTCGGTTGTAGAGAAAATTTGCTTCCGTGGATTTGCGTCAAGCATGTCAAGCATCGGAAATAAATGCAACTGCTTCTAAAGTTAAAGAGATTTCTTTTTAAAACAATCTATATTAACGGATAATCAAAATATTAACAATTCCTCGATTTATCCCTTATTCAAGCGGTCTTACAAAATAATAGAAATAATTAATATTTACATAAAGTTACTTCGCCTAAAGCTTTTCGAGGGGAATGTAAAACAGTTTTTCCGCCGATTGCTTAAATTTGTTTCAACGCGTTAAACATTCAGGCAGAAATTATGCGCGAATTTATATTAGTTTATTAATTTTCAGTTGAAAAAGTAACGATAAAAAGTAACAC